GATGGGGGTGATGTGCTCACGCCTGCGGGTCTGTGTCAGGAGACGTGCAGCAGAGTTCTGCATAAGCTGCAGGCGGGCAAGGGAAGCCTGGCTAATCCCTACGTACAAGGAGTTGCAGTAATCAAGACGGGTAGTGATAAAAGCATGGATTAATTTTTCCAGGTCAGGTCTTGATAAAATGGGCTTCACCTTCGCTATTTGGCGTAGCTGATAAAAACTTTTTTGTACCACCCCGCTGATCTGCTTGTCAAATTTAAAATCAGGGTCAAATTTAACTCCCAGATTAGTGACGACCTCTTTAAGGTAGGGTGAGAGGGAGCCTAGGTCGAAAACCCTTAAAACAGGCAGAAAAAAGAGAAAACTAAAAAAAAGAAAAAGAAGAGTATTTCTGAAAACAAAAAAAACAACAACAACAAAAAAACACCCTAAGAAAACTAAAAAACAAAAAAGAAATGTTTCTGATTCTTGGGGTTAAGAAAGCCTGAGAAGTGGAAGAAGTAACTTCCCCGAAGTAAGGAAGTACTTAAAAAAAAAAAAAAACTCTTCAAAAAGAAATCTCCAAAAACAAAAATAAATTAAGACAACTGATGAAAAAACAAAAAAGAAAAAAAAAACATCAACATGGGAAAAAAAAAAAAAACTACTGGAAAGAAAATTAAAAAACAACAAACAAAAGCACCCATAACCCGGTGTTTTTCACACAAAAGATAAAATAAACCTTGCGGTTTTCCGTCCCATGGGAGGGTTTTTATCCCCCTCCTCGAGCTACCACCTTACCGTGGTGGAGGGGTTTGTGTGTCCCAATGAGAGTTAATTCTGATTTACTCTTGCTGTTGTCAAAAAGTGCTAAAATTTCTCTGAATTTCGCATGCTAAGTAGGCCCATGTCAGTTTTAATCCTTGCAGGACTCTTGTTTTCACTTTTCATCAGCAGAGGAAAAGCTTTTGGATAACTGATTAATATAGAGTTCAGGGGAAAGTATATCTGCAATGTATAATCAATAATGACTTTATCTTCATGAGTTAATATGATTTGTACATTTAAAGAGAACTATTTTTTAATTTTGGTTCAACAATGGACAGAAGTACACAGGCAAGATGGCGTCTGTAAAGTTCAGTTTAACAGCTGGTGTGTCATACTAAGTTTTCTTATTTAACCCATCAATACATATCAATTCATAAAGCATCTATTACAAAAACAGCTCAAATCAATGTGGGTTAACAGCAGGTTTGAAAAATACATGATTGTTATAGGGTGTGCTTTTTTTTTTACATTTAAATGTGAAAAATTCAAATGTAAACAAACAACAAGAGAATATTGCATCAAAGGAACAATTCCGTGATGACATCATTATGACATCATCATGGCTTTCATCTCGTGTTACTAACTGGAAGTAGAGCAGCTGTCCAGGGTATCGTTTGAACCTTTCAGCGAGTAGCTACACTTAAAGAAAGAGACAATCGAAATCTTTTAGCAGCGGAACTCTGAGACTACAAACAGTCAAAGACAATGCAGCGACCAACAAACCGACCCAGGATTAACAGGCCCTTCTACTTGAGGGACAGAGAGATGGAGACACTCCGCAGGACTGTGGCTCAGCTCACTGGACAGCTGGAGAGTGAGAAGAACCGAACACTCTTGCTCAGCCAGGAGTTGGAGGTGACTCAACAGAGGCTCACTGGACAGCTGGAGAGAGAGAAGAACCGAACACTCTTGCTCAGCCAGGAGTTGGAGGTGATTCATCAGAAGCTGACCAGGCAAAGGGCTCTCAAGGAAGTGTACATTAACAAAGGGAAGGAGCTCAAAAAGGAGCTGCAGATGCTTCAAAAGTACAGCTCAGAGGAGACCCTCTCCAAACACAGAATTGCTCTTAAGGTGAGGGACACGAGCCGGCAGAAGAAGAAGAAGGATCTTCATGTCGATTACGAGGAGCTGAAGGTGGCACATATTGTGGAAAATGAGAGGCTCACAACACAAGTCCAGGAACTGACTGAAAGAAACACGGTCCTCCATGAAGAACAGGAGAAGACAAGAACCTCATACCAAGCACTGAAATTCCAGTATGCAACTGATCTCACTGCTGCGAAACAGGAAGTTGAGACCCTTCAGCGTGAGCTGCAAAATCAGGCTCACCATGATGGACTCTTACAGGAACAGACCATCCAGATCCTGAGAGCCGAACAGGACTCCATGACGGAGAAGATTGCTGTTCTGCAGCAGGCAGCTTTTGAAACAGAGAGGAGGCACTGGGCTGAGCTGGAGGAGCTGAAACAACAGCTCTACATCCAGACAGCCGGTATGATGGACAACAAGGAGCTTAAAGTGGCCCAAGAAACCAGCTTTAACAATGAAAAAAACAAAAAAACAAATGAACTCTCAACTGAGCTTCAACTTCGAGAGACAGGCATCAGGCAAAGTGAGATGACGCTTCAGGAGCAGGACTTCATGGACATGGACATCGAGCAGTTTTGCATGGAGTTGGAGAAAACTGCAGAAACTTCTGGAGCTGAAGAACTGGCAGGAGCTTTAGAAATCGAAGTGACTGCTGGATCTCCAGAACTAGTTGGAACAGCAGGACCAGCAGAGACACCAACCTCTAATGCCACCAAACCACCTTCTTCAGTCTGGAAACAAACAAGACACTTCTTGGGGTTAAGAAAGCCTGAGAAGTGGAAGAAGAAGTAACTTCCTCGAAGTAAGGAAGTACTTTAAAAAAAAAAAAAACTCTTCAAAAAGAGATCTCAAAAAAAAATAAAGAAAGAAAGAAAACCAAAAAAAAAAAAATCAATCAATCAATCAACTTTATTTCTATAGCACATTTAAAACAACCACAAGGGTAGCCAAATTGCTGTACAGTGACACATAAAAACAAATAAAACAATCAAAGAACAAGATAAAGCAAGCAGAAATACAGTAATGCAAAAGAATAAATAAGTGTATAAATAAGGAGGCTCACGGCAAGTGCTAAGATGATAAAAAACAAATTAACACTACAATGTACTAAAAGCCAATGAGTAAAAGTACGTTTTTAAAAGGGATTTAAAAACAGAAAATGAGGAGGCCTGTCTAATTTTCAAGGGCAACTCATTCCAGAGCTTAGGGGCAGCAGCGGCAAATGCTCTGTCCCCTCTGAGCTTCAGCCTTGTACTGGGGACGGTCAGTAAAAGCTGATCAGCTGATCTTAGGGGTCGGGGTGGGCAATAAGGCTGTAGCATCTCCGAAATATAGGGTGGAGCAAGGTTGTTCAGGCCCTTAAAAACAAATGCTAAAAGCTTAAAATGAATTCTGTACTGAACAGGGAGCCAGTGTAAGGACGCCAGGATGGGGGTGATGTGCTCACGCCTGCGGGTCTGTGTCAGGAGACGTGCAGCAGAGTTCTGCATAAGCTGCAGGCGGGCAAGGGAAGCCTGGCTAATCCCTACGTACAAGGAGTTGCAGTAATCAAGACGGGTAGTGATAAAAGCATGGATTAATTTTTCCAGGTCAGGTCTTGATAAAATGGGCTTCACCTTCGCTATTTGGCGTAGCTGATAAAAACTTTTTTGTACCACCCCGCTGATCTGCTTGTCAAATTTAAAATCAGGGTCAAATTTAACTCCCAGATTAGTGACGACCTCTTTAAGGTAGGGTGAGAGGGAGCCTAGGTCGAAAACCCTTAAAACAGGCAGAAAAAAGAGAAAACTAAAAAAAAGAAAAAGAAGAGTATTTCTGAAAACAAAAAAAACAACAACAACAAAAAAACACCCTAAGAAAACTAAAAAACAAAAAAGAAATATTTCTGATTCTTGGGGTTAAGAAAGCCTGAGAAGTGGAAGAAGTAACTTCCCCGAAGTAAGGAAGTACTTAAAAAAAAAAAAAAACTCTTCAAAAAGAAATCTCCAAAAACAAAAATAAATTAAGACAACTGATGAAAAAACAAAAAAGAAAAAAAAACATCAACATGGGAAAAAAAAAAAAACTACTGGAAAGAAAATTAAAAAACAACAAACAAAAGCACCCATAACCCGGTGTTTTTCACACAAAAGATAAAATAAACCTTGCGGTTTTCCGTCCCATGGGAGGGTTTTTATCCCCCTCCTCGAGCTACCACCTTACCGTGGTGGAGGGGTTTGTGTGTCCCAATGAGAGTTAATTCTGATTTACTCTTGCTGTTGTCAAAAAGTGCTAAAATTTCTCTGAATTTCGCATGCTAAGTAGGCCCATGTCAGTTTTAATCCTTGCAGGACTCTTGTTTTCACTTTTCATCAGCAGAGGAAAAGCTTTTGGATAACTGATTAATATAGAGTTCAGGGGAAAGTATATCTGCAATGTATAATCAATAATGACTTTATCTTCATGAGTAAATATGATTTGTACATTTAAAGAGAACTATTTTTTAATTTTGGTTCAACAATGGACAGAAGTACACAGGCAAGATGGCGTCTGTAAAGTTCAGTTTAACAGCTGGTGTGTCATACTAAGTTTTCTTATTTAACCCATCAATACATATCAATTCATAAAGCATCTATTACAAAAACAGCTCAAATCAATGTGGGTTAACAGCAGGTTTGAAAAATACATGATTGTTATAGGGTGTGCTTTTTTTTTTACATTTAAATGTGAAAAATTCAAATGTAAACAAACAACAAGAGAATATTGCATCAAAGGAACAATTCCGTGATGACATCATTATGACATCATCATGGCTTTCATCTCGTGTTACTAAGTGGAAGTAGAGCAGCTGTCCAGGGTATCGTTTGAACCTTTCAGCGAGTAGCTACACTTAATGTAAAGATTATTAAATTTAGACACAACCAAGGCTATTTCTGCTGCTGTTCAGGTGCCTCTACTATACTAATAATCATTAGTATTAAATTATTTAAAATTATTTAAAAATACGACTCTGCAGTGGCTGTCATGGCAACTGAATCAACTGTTTAGTTTTAAAAAACTGAAGTTGGATATTTCAAAGTGAAACATAGACCTACTGGTAAAAACGTGGAAGAAAGCGAAAAGCAAAGATGGAAAACATGTCAGAGGAAACCCACGGCGAAATGACGGATCCACAGCACGTCCACCTAAGGTAAGGAGAAAAAAACGGTTCAAGGGGTCCCTGTGTGAAGGTGTTTCTATAAAACCGCGCCTCAACCTTTTTCTTTCTGCTCCTTTTCATTCACATGAAAATTTTTCCTTGTTTGTATTGAATGTGTCATATACTAACAGACTGAAATAAAGTATGTACACAGCGCCCTAACTTTATTGAAATGAAGTCATGTGTTTGGAGGTTAAGGCTCTGTTTGTGTAGATACCAACAGTTTGGGTCGGGTCAGAACTGCTGACATTCATACAGCTCATTCAGACGACTCAGAGAATGAGAGTATTTGGAATTTTCCAATATTTATCATGTCTCAGATTTGTGCACATCAGTTTGTGAATGACAGATATTGTACAGAAAGACTTAGCTTTCAGACCCTTTACAACAAGATCTTCAGTGCTTCTCATCTTTTTCTTTTAGCTTCCCATCTGAAAGCTCTGTGGAGGAAATGGCTCAAGACAGACCAGATCAAGATGAGACAGAGAAAACGGAGATTGATAACAGCATCATACAGAGACTTCAAGACAGACCAGATCAAGATGAGACAGAGAAAAAGGAGATTGATAACCGAATCATACAGAGACTTCAATCTGGCTGGATAGGCACTCTTCATGTCGTTTTCCTGGTGCTGCTTTTAGTCCTAATCACTGTCATTGTTGGCCTGAGCATCAATGTTAAGCAGTTACAGAAAGAAAGGAGTCAGCTGAGACAGCTTCTAGAATCAACACACATGGGACTGAACCACACCATGGAAGTAAATCAAAAAGTGAGCCAGAGTCTGAACTTCACCGTGGAAGAAAATCAAAAACTGAGGCTGAGTCTGAACTACACCATGGAAGAGAATCTGAACCTGAGCCTGAGTCTGAACAACACCATGGAAGAAAATCAGAAATTGAGCAGAAGACTAAACTACACCATGGAAGATAATCAGAAATTGAGCCTGAGTCTGAACTACACCATGGAAGATAATCTGAAACTGAGCCGAAGACTCAACCACACCAAGGAAGAAAATCAAAAACTGAGCCTGAGTCTGAGCTACTCCATGGAAGAAAATCAGAGACTGAGCCGAAGACTAAACCACACCATGGAAGTAAATCAAAAAGTGAGCCAGAGTCTGAACTTCACCGTGGAAGAAAATCAAAAACTGAGGCTGAGTCTGAACTACACCATGGAGGAGAATCTGAACCTGAGCCTGAGTCTGAACAACACCATGGAAGAAAATCAGAAATTGAGCAGAAGACTAAACTACACCATGGAAGAGAATCTGAATCTGAGCCAAAGATTAAACCACACCAAGGAAGAAAATCAAAAACTGAGGCTGAGTCTGAACTACACCATGGAAGAGAATCTGAACCTGAGCCTGAGTCTGAACAGCACCAAGGAAGAAAATCAAAAACTGAGCCTGAGTCTGAGCTACTCCATGGAAGAAAATCAGAGACTGAGCCGAAGACTTAACCACACCATGGCAGAAAAGTCACAGCTTCAAGTGCAGATTGAGGAGATGAAAATCATATTGAATTCTACTATGGAAAACCGTGACTCTTTCAGAAAAGACAAAATCAAATATCAACAGCTTTTGATCAATGAAAGGCAGACCTCAACTCAACTAAAAGCTGAAAATCAACGTCAACAATCAATTCTGATGTCGGAGAAACTATCTTTCCTCTGGAGATTCTGTGATAAAGGCACCCTGCAATGTTCACGCTGCCTTCCTGGTTGGGCTGAGCACGCCACACGCTGCTTCCATTTGGCATCACAACCAATGAAGTGGGAAGATGCTCGTAGGGAGTGTTTTAATGAAGGTGCTGACCTGGCTGTTGTCTTGAATGCTGCAGACCAGGCATTTCTGACCAACATGACTTTCCAGTTTACACAGCAGCATCCAAATGTACTGTTCCATTCAGCATGGATCGGGTTGCAGGACATGGTGCAGGATAACAGATTTGTGTGGGTAAATGGTATCAAGTCCAAGTCAGATTTGAAGTTCTGGATGCCTGGAGAGCCAAACAATGCTGCGGCTCAATGGGACAAAGACCGTGCAGGACAGGACTGTGTTGTCATTGTCCCTCCAAAGACTGTTGGACAGAAAGGCTGGCTGAACTCCTGGGATGATGTTGTCTGTCGAGGCCAGCGGCACTACATTTGTGAAACCAAAGCTCTTATTTTGTCTGGAGTAAAAACTGAGGAATGATGAGTTTATAACAATTTAGAATAAGTATGAATTAATGTGAAATAAATGTTCTTTATTTTGATAATGATATGGTATTATTATTTGGATTTTAATGTGGCCTATATAATAGACTGTTTTTTGTTCTTTTTTTAGTCTATCTATCTATCTATCTATCTATCTATCTATCTATCTATCTATCTATCTATCTATCTATCTATCTATCTATCACAGAATGGAGATGACATGGATTAAGGTGAAGTCAGTTGCAAGTTCAACATTTGTTAAAAAAAAAAAAAGAACAATATGACTGGAATGAGCGTTTAATCAAATAAATGTGAACAGAAACATTTTTAGGGCAGAAAAACATTATCACGAGACTTTTGGATTTCTGTCCTGCAGTTATGGAAGAATATGAGGTAACACCGGGAAATAAACCTCCGTCGTTAACATGAGAAAGAAACTTCTTCACTGACCGCCGGGAAGTGAAATTTCGGCGAAGGGTCAGTTGTGCCGTTCCCTTCCTGGAACTTCAGCCAGTCCAGCAGCCGTTCAGCTCCGACCACACCCTCCCTGCTTCCTCATACTGCAGCGGGAGCGCGCAGCACGACTTTGAATCCCCGGGAATAACGGCCCTTTCCTCGGCTACCTTTGGGATTTCATGTTCGGGGAACTAGACGAAACATGTGAGTTGACTGTCCAAAGACTTTTGAGCGGTTATGGCGCTGAAAAGCAAGTGTCAGCAGGGGCTATGCGGGGCTTCACATTCTCTGGTCCCGTGTCAAGACGCCTAGAGGAAGAGGAGGAGGAGGAGGAGGAGGGCGGACAGAAGGACGATGCATATGGAGTCCAAGCGACTGCAGCATTCGCTAGCTTCTAACCCGGGGCTGTGTTTGAAAAAGAAGAGGTTAAAAGTGGATGGAGGAGTTTGTGCTGTTGGAAAGTCGGGCTCCCGGTCTTTAACTCTGGGGGACTCATGAAACGATGGTGCTGAAGGGAAACACGAGTCTTCCCGCTGTCCAGGAGAACTGCCCGGGTGGTGCCCCGTTTGTACCCAGCATGAGAATACCAGGCCGGTCAAAGTCATTGGAAGCAAGTCGGACAAGACGTCGGTGCTTTTTCAGGCTGCTTACCCTGTCAAGAGTGGACCTAAAATGACATCCTATTTATTAATGTAAAGAAAAAAAAAGAGCGAAGAATCGATCAAGCTAATGTTGAGGGATGTTTTTCTCTGCTAAAAAAGACCCAAAGAAAAGACATCTAGTGTTAAATAGCAGGAAAGGATCAGCAGATGTCATAAATCAGGAATGTGATCTCCTTTATGAAAAGAAATGCAGCTTTTGACTTTGAACAGCTCTCAGTCTGCACTTTGCCTGTTTGGAGGCACCCTGGCACTGCATTTGGTGTGATTTCTTCTTAAAGTTCACAGCCTGTGAAGTTTTTTTCTGTTTGACCAAAACTGGGACTGGGATTAGATTAACCACATCTGTATTTTGCTGGCATTTATGTTCATCTAAAGAGATAAGAGCATTTTATACTGATAATTTTAAGGCAATCCACCAGAAATATGCCTGACAGAAGTTCAGTCTCTTATTGTAAGAAAATATTCTGGATGTTATTGACTCAAAGTAATGCAGTTAGCGAGTTTGACTCTTTCTACGTGTTTACATGAAGAGTATATATATTCTGTGTGTACAGCTGATGACCCATACTCTGAAGGAATTTAAGGAAGACTGTTTGGCCAGTTGACTTTCTCAAAGTTTGTGAAAAGCAGTTCAGGCTTAGCTTGGAAACAGTACCATGTAATGTGCAGCACCCTAAAAAGCATAAATAAGTGAACTGAGTAACCCTCCCACCCTCACCCACCCCCTCCTTATTATGGCTAGTGGTGGCTCTGGCATGGCTCTGCCCCTAAGCTCATTCCAGAGCTTAGGGGCAGCAGCGGCAAATGCTCTGTCCCCTCTGAGCTTCAGCCTTGTACTGGGGACGGTCAGTAAAAGCTGATCAGCTGATCTTAGGGGTCGGGGTGGGCAATAAGGCTGTAGCATCTCCGAAATATAGGGTGGAGCAAGGTTGTTCAGGCCCTTAAAAACAAATGCTAAAAGCTTAAAATGAATTCTGTACTGAACAGGGAGCCAGTGTAAGGACGCCAGGATGGGGGTGATGTGCTCACGCCTGCGGGTCTGTGTCAGGAGACGTGCAGCAGAGTTCTGCATAAGCTGCAGGCGGGCAAGGGAAGCCTGGCTAATCCCTACGTACAAGGAGTTGCAGTAATCAAGACGGGTAGTGATAAAAGCATGGATTAATTTTTCCAGGTCAGGTCTTGATAAAATGGGCTTCACCTTCGCTATTTGGCGTAGCTGATAAAAACTTTTTTGTACCACCCCGCTGATCTGCTTGTCAAATTTAAAATCAGGGTCAAATTTAACTCCCAGATTAGTGACGACCTCTTTAAGGTAGGGTGAGAGGGAGCCTAGGTCGAAAACCCTTAAAACAGGCAGAAAAAAGAGAAAACTAAAAAAAAGAAAAAGAAGAGTATTTCTGAAAACAAAAAAAACAACAACAACAAAAAAACACCCTAAGAAAACTAAAAAACAAAAAAGAAATATTTCTGATTCTTGGGGTTAAGAAAGCCTGAGAAGTGGAAGAAGTAACTTCCCCGAAGTAAGGAAGTACTTAAAAAAAAAAAAAAACTCTTCAAAAAGAAATCTCCAAAAACAAAAATAAATTAAGACAACTGATGAAAAAACAAAAAAGAAAAAAAAAACATCAACATGGGAAAAAAAAAAAAACTACTGGAAAGAAAATTAAAAAACAACAAACAAAAGCACCCATAACCCGGTGTTTTTCACACAAAAGATAAAATAAACCTTGCGGTTTTCCGTCCCATGGGAGGGTTTTTATCCCCCTCCTCGAGCTACCACCTTACCGTGGTGGAGGGGTTTGTGTGTCCCAATGAGAGTTAATTCTGATTTACTCTTGCTGTTGTCAAAAAGTGCTAAAATTTCTCTGAATTTCGCATGCTAAGTAGGCCCATGTCAGTTTTAATCCTTGCAGGACTCTTGTTTTCACTTTTCATCAGCAGAGGAAAAGCTTTTGGATAACTGATTAATATAGAGTTCAGGGGAAAGTATATCTGCAATGTATAATCAATAATGACTTTATCTTCATGAGTAAATATGATTTGTACATTTAAAGAGAACTATTTTTTAATTTTGGTTCAACAATGGACAGAAGTACACAGGCAAGATGGCGTCTGTAAAGTTCAGTTTAACAGCTGGTGTGTCATACTAAGTTTTCTTATTTAACCCATCAATACATATCAATTCATAAAGCATCTATTACAAAAACAGCTCAAATCAATGTGGGTTAACAGCAGGTTTGAAAAATACATGATTGTTATAGGGTGTGCTTTTTTTTTTACATTTAAATGTGAAAAATTCAAATGTAAACAAACAACAAGAGAATATTGCATCAAAGGAACAATTCCGTGATGACATCATTATGACATCATCATGGCTTTCATCTCGTGTTACTAACTGGAAGTAGAGCAGCTGTCCAGGGTATCGTTTGAACCTTTCAGCGAGTAGCTACACTTAAAGAAAGAGACAATCGAAATCTTTTAGCAGCGGAACTCTGAGACTACAAACAGTCAAAGACAATGCAGCGACCAACAAACCGACCCAGGATTAACAGGCCCTTCTACTTGAGGGACAGAGAGATGGAGACACTCCGCAGGACTGTGGCTCAGCTCACTGGACAGCTGGAGAGTGAGAAGAACCGAACACTCTTGCTCAGCCAGGAGTTGGAGGTGACTCAACAGAGGCTCACTGGACAGCTGGAGAGAGAGAAGAACCGAACACTCTTGCTCAGCCAGGAGTTGGAGGTGATTCATCAGAAGCTGACCAGGCAAAGGGCTCTCAAGGAAGTGTACATTAACAAAGGGAAGGAGCTCAAAAAGGAGCTGCAGATGCTTCAAAAGTACAGCTCAGAGGAGACCCTCTCCAAACACAGAATTGCTCTTAAGGTGAGGGACACGAGCCGGCAGAAGAAGAAGAAGGATCTTCATGTCGATTACGAGGAGCTGAAGGTGGCACATATTGTGGAAAATGAGAGGCTCACAACACAAGTCCAGGAACTGACTGAAAGAAACACGGTCCTCCATGAAGAACAGGAGAAGACAAGAACCTCATACCAAGCACTGAAATTCCAGTATGCAACTGATCTCACTGCTGCGAAACAGGAAGTTGAGACCCTTCAGCGTGAGCTGCAAAATCAGGCTCACCATGATGGACTCTTACAGGAACAGACCATCCAGATCCTGAGAGCCGAACAGGACTCCATGACGGAGAAGATTGCTGTTCTGCAGCAGGCAGCTTTTGAAACAGAGAGGAGGCACTGGGCTGAGCTGGAGGAGCTGAAACAACAGCTCTACATCCAGACAGCCGGTATGATGGACAACAAGGAGCTTAAAGTGGCCCAAGAAACCAGCTTTAACAATGAAAAAAACAAAAAAACAAATGAACTCTCAACTGAGCTTCAACTTCGAGAGACAGGCATCAGGCAAAGTGAGATGACGCTTCAGGAGCAGGACTTCATGGACATGGACATCGAGCAGTTTTGCATGGAGTTGGAGAAAACTGCAGAAACTTCTGGAGCTGAAGAACTGGCAGGAGCTTTAGAAATCGAAGTGACTGCTGGATCTCCAGAACTAGTTGGAACAGCAGGACCAGCAGAGACACCAACCTCTAATGCCACCAAACCACCTTCTTCAGTCTGGAAACAAACAAGACACTTCTTGGGGTTAAGAAAGCCTGAGAAGTGGAAGAAGTAACTTCCTCGAAGTAAGGAAGTACTTTAAAAAAAAAAAAAACTCTTCAAAAAGAGATCTCAAAAAAAAATAAAGAAAGAAAGAAAACCAAAAAAAAAAAAATCAATCAATCAATCAACTTTATTTCTATAGCACATTTAAAACAACCACAAGGGTAGCCAAAGTGCTGTACAGTGACACATAAAAACAAATAAAACAATCAAAGAACAAGATAAAGCAAGCAGAAATACAGTAATGCAAAAGAATAAATAAGTGTATAAATAAGGAGGCTCACGGCAAGTGCTAAGATGATAAAAAACAAATTAACACTACAATGTACTAAAAGCCAATGAGTAAAAGTACGTTTTTAAAAGGGATTTAAAAACAGAAAATGAGGAGGCCTGTCTAATTTTCAAGGGCAACTCATTCCAGAGCTTAGGGGCAGCAGCGGCAAATGCTCTGTCCCCTCTGAGCTTCAGCCTTGTACTGGGGACGGTCAGTAAAAGCTGATCAGCTGATCTTAGGGGTCGGGGTGGGCAATAAGGCTGTAGCATCTCCGAAATATAGGGTGGAGCAAGGTTGTTCAGGCCCTTAAAAACAAATGCTAAAAGCTTAAAATGAATTCTGTACTGAACAGGGAGCCAGTGTAAGGACGCCAGGATGGGGGTGATGTGCTCACGCCTGCGGGTCTGTGTCAGGAGACGTGCAGCAGAGTTCTGCATAAGCTGCAGGCGGGCAAGGGAAGCCTGGCTAATCCCTACGTACAAGGAGTTGCAGTAATCAAGACGGGTAGTGATAAAAGCATGGATTAATTTTTCCAGGTCAGGTCTTGATAAAATGGGCTTCACCTTCGCTATTTGGCGTAGCTGATAAAAACTTTTTTGTACCACCCCGCTGATCTGCTTGTCAAATTTAAAATCAGGGTCAAATTTAACTCCCAGATTAGTGACGACCTCTTTAAGGTAGGGTGAGAGGGAGCCTAGGTCGAAAACCCTTAAAACAGGCAGAAAAAAGAGAAAACTAAAAAAAAGAAAAAGAAGAGTATTTCTGAAAAAAAAAAAAAAACAACAACAAAAAAACACCCTAAGAAAACTAAAAAACAAAAAAGAAATGTTTCTGATTCTTGGGATTAAGAAAGCCTGAGAAGTGGAAGAAGTAAGTAAGGAAGTACTTAAAAAAAAAAAAAACTCTTCAAAAAGAAATCTCCAAAAACAAAAATAAATTAAGACAACTGATGAAAAAACAAAAAAGAAAAAAAAAAACATCAACATGGGAAAAAAAAAAAAAAATTCTAAAAAAAAAAAAAAAAAAAAAAACTGGAAAGAAAATTAAAAAAAAACAAACAAAAGCACCCATAACCCGGTGTTTTTCACACAAAAGATAAAATAAACCTTGCGGTTTTCCGTCCCATGGGAGGGTTTTTATCCCCCTCCTCGAGCTACCACCTTACCGTGGTGGAGGGGTTTGTGTGTCCCAATGAGAGTTAATTCTGATTTACTCTTGCTGTTGTCAAAAAGTGCTAAAATTTCTCTGAATTTCGCATGTTAAGTAGGCCCATGTCAGTTTTAATCCTTGCAGGACTCTTGTTTTCACTTTTCATCAGCAGAGGAAAAGCTTTTGGATAACTGATTAATATAGAGTTCAGGGGAAAGTATATCTGCAATGTATAATCAATAATGACTTTATCTTCATGAGTAAATATGATTTGTACATTTAAAGAGAACTATTTTTTAATTTTGGTTCAACAATGGACAGAAGTACACAGGCAAGATGGCGTCTGTAAAGTTCAGTTTAACAGCTGGTGTGTCATACTAAGTTTTCTTATTTAACCCATCAATACATATCAATTCATAAAGCATCTATTACAAAAACAGCTCAAATCAATGTGGGTTAACAGCAGGTTTGAAAAATACATGATTGTTATAGGGTGTGCTTTTTTTTACATTTAAATGTGAAAAATTCAAATGTAAACAAACAACAAGAGAATATGGCATCAAAGGAACAATTCCGTGATGACATCATTATGACATCATCATGGCTTTCATCTCGTGTTACTAAGTGGAAGTAGAGCAGCTGTCCAGGGTATCGTTTGAACCTTTCAGCGAGTAGCTACACTTAATGTAAAGATTATTAAATTTAGACACAACCAAGGCTATTTCTGCTGCTGTTCAGGTGCCTCTACTATACTAATAATCATTAGTATTAAATTATTTAAAATTATTTAAAAATACGACTCTGCAGTGGCTGTCATGGCAACTGAATCAACTGTTTAGTTTTAAAAAACTGAAGTTGGATATTTCAAAGTGAAACATAGACCTACTGGTAAAAACGTGGAAGAAAGCGAAAAGCAAAGATGGAAAACATGTCAGAGGAAACCCACGGCGAAATGACGGATCCACAGCACGTCCACCTAAGGTAAGGAGAAAAAAACGGTTCAAGGGGTCCCTGTGTGAAGGTGTTTCTATAAAACCGCGCCTCAACCTTTTTCTTTCTGCTCCTTTTCATTCACATGAAAATTTTTCCTTGTTTGTATTGAATGTGTCATATACTAACAGACTGAAATAAAGTATGTACACAGCGCCCTAACTTTATTGAAATGAAGTCATGTGTTTGGAGGTTAAGGCTCTGTTTGTGTAGATACCAACAGTTTGGGTCGGGTCAGAACTGCTGACATTCATACAGCTCATTCAGACGACTCAGAGAATGAGAGTATTTGGAATTTTCCAATATTTATCATGTCTCAGATTTGTGCACATCAGTTTGTGAATGACAGATATTGTACAGAAAGACTTAGCTTTCAGACCCTTTACAACAAGATCTTCAGTGCTTCTCATCTTTTTCTTTTAGCTTCCCATCTGAAAGCTCTGTGGAGGAAATGGCTCAAGACAGACCAGATCAAGATGAGACGGAGAAAACGGAGATTGATAACAGCATCATACAGAGACTTCAAGACAGACCAGATCAAGATGAGACAGAGAAAAAGGAGATTGATAACCGAATCATACAGAGACTTCAATCTGGCTGGATAGGCACTCTTCATGTCGTTTTCCTGGTGCTGCTTTTAGTCCTAATCACTGTCATTGTTGGCCTGAGCATCAATGTTAAGCAGTTACAGAAAGAAAGGAGTCAGCTGAGACAGCTTCTAGAATCAACACACATGGGACTGAACCACACCATGGAAGTAAATCAAAAAGTGAGCCAGAGTCTGAACTTCACCGTGGAAGAAAATCAAAAACTGAGGCTGAGTCTGAACTACACCATGGAAGAGAATCTGAACCTGAGCCTGAGTCTGAACAACACCATGGAAGAAAATCAGAAATTGAGCAGAAGACTAAACTACACCATGGAAGATAATCAGAAATTGAGCCTGAGTCTGAACTACACCATGGAAGATAATCTGAAACTGAGCCGAAGACTCAACCACACCAAGGAAGAAAATCAAAAACTGAGCCTGAGTCTGAGCTACTCCATGGAAGAAAATCAGAGACTGAGCCGAAGACTAAACCACACCATGGAAGTAAATCAAAAAGTGAGCCAGAGTCTGAACTTCACCGTGGAAGAAAATCAAAAACTGAGGCTGAGTCTGAACTACACCATGGAGGAGAATCTGAACCTGAGCCTGAGTCTGAACAACACCATGGAAGAAAATCAGAAATTGAGCAGAAGACTAAACTACACCATGGAAGAAAATCTGAATCTGAGCCAAAGATTAAACCACACCAAGGAAGAAAATCAAAAACTGAGGCTGAGTCTGAACTACACCATGGAAGAGAATCTGAACCTGAGCCTGAGTCTGAACAGCACCAAGGAAGAAAATCAAAAACTGAGCCTGAGTCTGAGCTACTCCATGGAAGAAAATCAGAGACTGAGCCGAAGACTTAACCACACCATGGCAGAAAAGTCACAGCTTCAAGTGCAGATTGAGGAGATGAAAATCATATTGAATTCTACTATGGAAAACCGTGACTCTTTCAGAAAAGACAAAATCAAATATCAACAGCTTTTGATCAATGAAAGGCAGACCTCAACTCAACTAAAAGCTGAAAATCAACGTCAACAATCAATTCTGATGTCGGAGAAACTATCTTTCCTCTGGAGATTCTGTGATAAAGGCACCCTGCAATGTTCACGCTGCCTTCCTGGTTGGGCTGAGCACGCCACACGCTGCTTCCATTTGGCATCACAACCAATGAAGTGGGAAGATGCTCGTAGGGAGTGTTTTAATGAAGGTGCTGACCTGGCTGTTGTCTTGAATGCTGCAGACCAGGCATTTCTGACCAACATGACTTTCCAGTTTACACAGCAGCATCCAAATGTACTGTTCCATTCAGCATGGATCGGGTTGCAGGACATGGTGCAGGATAACAGATTTGTGTGGGTAAATGGTATCAAGTCCAAGTCAGATTTGAAGTTCTGGATGCCTGGAGAGCCAAACAATGCTGCGGCTCAATGGGACAAAGACCGTGCAGGACAGGACTGTGTTGTCATTGTCCCTCCAAAGACTGTTGGACAGAAAGGCTGGCTGAACTCCTGGGATGATGTTGTCTGTCGAGGCCAGCGGCACTACATTTGTGAAACCAAAGCTCTTATTTTGTCTGGAGTAAAAACTGAGGAATGATGAGTTTATAACAATTTAGAATAAGTATGAATTAATGTGAAATAAATGTTCTTTATTTTGATAATGATATGGTATTATTATTTGGATTTTAATGTGGTCTATATAATAGACTGTTTTTTGTTCTTTTTTTAGTCAGATCTATCTATCTATCTATCTATCTATCTATCTATCTATCTATCTATCTATCTATCTATCTATCTATCACAGAATGGAGATGACATGGATTAAGGTGAAGTCAGTTGCAAGTTCAACATTTGTTAAAAAAAAAAAAAGAACAATATGACTGGAATGAGCGTTTAATCAAATAAATGTGAACAGAAACATTTTTAGGGCAGAAAAACATTATCACGAGACTTTTGGATTTCTGTCCTGCAGTTATGGAAGAATATGAGGTAACACCGGGAAATAAACCTCCGTCGTTAACATGAGAAAGAAACTTCTTCACTGACCGCCGGGAAGTGAAATTTCGGCGAAGGGTCAGTTGTGCCGTTCCCTTCCTGGAACTTCAGCCAGTCCAGCAGCCGTTCAGCTCCGACCACACCCTCCCTGCTTCCTCATACTGCAGCGGGAGCGCGCAGCACGACTTTGAATCCCCGGGAATAACGGCCCTTTCCTCGGCTACCTTTGGGATTTCATGTTCGGGGAACTAGACGAAACATGTGAGTTGACTGTCCAAAGACTTTTGAGCGGTTATGGCGCTGAAAAGCAAGTGTCAGCAGGGGCTATGCGGGGCTTCACATTCTCTGGTCCCGTGTCAAGACGCCTAGAGGAAGAGGAGGAGGAGGAGGAGGAGGGCGGACAGAAGGACGATGCATATGGAGTCCAAGCGACTGCAGCATTCGCTAGCTTCTAACCCGGGGCTGTGTTTGAAAAAGAAGAGGTTAAAAGTGGATGGAGGAGTTTGTGCTGTTGGAAAGTCGGGCTCCCGGTCTTTAACTCTGGGGGACTCATGAAACGATGGTGCTGAAGGGAAACACGAGTCTTCCCGCTGTCCAGGAGAACTGCCCGGGTGGTGCCCCGTTTGTACCCAGCATGAGAATACCAGGCCGGTCAAAGTCATTGGAAGCAAGTCGGACAAGACGTCGGTGCTTTTTCAGGCTGCTTACCCTGTCAAGAGTGGACCTAAAATGACATCCTATTTATTAATGTAAAGAAAAAAAAAGAGCGAAGAATCGATCAAGCTAATGTTGAGGGATGTTTTTCTCTGCTAAAAAAGACCCAAAGAAAAGACATCTAGTGTTAAATAGCAGGAAAGGATCAGCAGATGTCATAAATCAGGAATGTGATCTCCTTTATGAAAAGAAATGCAGCTTTTGACTTTGAACAGCTCTCAGTCTGCACTTTGCCTGTTTGGAGGCACCCTGGCACTGCATTTGGTGTGATTTCTTCTTAAAG